TCACAGATAATAGTAGCAGGTAAATTTAACTATGTTAATTCACCTTAGCTCTTCTATTATTAATCATCACCGTATAATTTCATCCTCTTGCACACAATTACACGCTTTATCTATCCACTGTATATTTAATGCCCTATATTTTCTACCTATATATTCCCATCAGCGAAATCTCTCATCATTAGCAACAGTGCCCCATGAAATTTCCAAACTGCTCCAATAACCCTTAAGATAAGATCCCCGTCGTAAAACGAACAGCGTATTCTCGACAGAGTTTCACCTCTGACCCCTCGAACTGTTACAATTACGCAACGAATCTTATCGCGTCCACTCGCCAGCTATCAGCGAATCAGAAACACCGTTATTTTATTTGCCGTTTTACGGTACCGGGTGTTCGTCGAGTCGAGTTTCTTTCGAGAATCACCGGTAAACATCGGTGCTCGGTGTGCGTTACTAACAATCAATAACATGACAGCCGGCTTGTCGATATAATAATGTTGACATATAACTGGCTCGATGGCGGGGTAGCGGGGAACATCGGTTTCAGTAATCGATCCTCTGATCGCGAGAACAATTCGCTCCGTGGCTGTGGGGTAAATCGAAACCACCGCTTTAATTACTCTTGCTGGTGTCTTGTTGCATGCCCAGCAACGTTTTCATCGCACGATATTATAGAGAAAGAGAGAGAGAGAGAGAGAAGAGGAAAGAAAGGTAGAAAATAGAGAAGAGAAAGGAGGGAAAAAATAGCAAGTGGCAGAAGCAATCGATAGCTGCGCCACGATAAAGCACCACCGGCCGACCGCCTCCATATTCCGCGGTAAATGGAAATTCTGCCGCGCGGAAATCGATATTTAATAGGCGCTGCTACAAATTGAAGCGAATCACTCGTAATCGCGATTTAATCGATTCTAATATCTATAATGCCGTTGTTCGCATTGTCGTTAATTCGAGTGTAACGTCGTTCAAACGACGACTATTCCTTTAGCGTTCGCTGCGCGAGTTCACAGGGCTTTCGTTTTTCATGCGATGGATAACGTTGACATCTGGGGGAGAATCTTTTCGTTTCTCAAATGATCTGTCTGTTTCAACTGTGAGGCGAAATTTCTAGACTTTTTTGAACCTATTTGATACGTGTACTTTTAGTTGAGCTATTTAAAATTTATATCTGTGAACAGTGAAATATTTTTCACGAGTTGTCACTAATGGCAATGAAAAATCTGGTTCTGAGAGTTTAAAATTTATCAATCAACCATGTGACAATTATCGGTCTAAATTTCGAACCGCATACCTATCAGAAAGTTTGAATAAATTGAAATTACATTTCCTCGTTTAATTAAATATTCTTCCATAGTGTTGGGAAAATTAAAATTAACAAAACGACTGTTTCAATATTTCGTCGAAATTGCTTCCGTGCACACTGTTAATGAAATTTCAAACAGATCGACTATTAACTATTAATAGGTAATACTGGACCTATAACTTCCCTCTCCCCCTCCCCCGATGGATTCAAAGTCGGAATTTTCACCTCACTGTAACTTCAATCGCCATTTTAACTACTCTACCAAATAATTTTGTTAACTTCAATGAATTAATTATTGTAAAATTTTTAAATAAAAATTTTAAATTATTTAAACAGAAATTTAAATTATTAGTGGCTTCTAAAATTGCTAATTTTTTATCTAATCTTGATAAAATTTCTTAATTTTTTAATTTGAAAAAAAAAGAATTTGTTCTTCTATAAAATTATCAAACAAAAATACAATTAAGAGGATTTGACTAGAGTTTGTTCATTTGTGTTAATTATCATTAGAATCGAAGAGAATTTCTGTGAAGTCCTTGACAACGAGTATGCCTGATTTATTAAAAAATGTCGCAAGAATTGACACAACTATAACTCTACTTATCGATTGAATTAAGCTATACGCGTGGTCTGATCATAAACAGTCGTGACTACTGGCCATCTACATGCGACCTCATACAACACGTTCCAAACAATTTCTTATAAACCATTAAAGTGCTCGAGTATAGCTGACACAATACTTTTCGATTATGCAATTGATAAATACCTAAACGATCGATTTCTTTTTTTTTTTTTTTAATTATTCAAATTGATTAAAAGCCTTTATATAGGGCGACAATTGCTGCTACTCGAAACACTTTCAAATTTATCAAATAATTGGTTCTTGTGCAGTAGTTACAAATATACATCGATGCATTCCATTATTAATTCTTATATATGATTAAATTTTCATTGAACTGTACGAAAACTACGACCACATTATTTCCGCGCCTTACATGGAAAAAAATATTCTCGAGACAGAGTATTCCGCAAAGAATTTACTAAAATTGAGTCAAGCACAAAATTCGTTAAAATTTATTTCTTTACATATTCTCCAATGTACTTTCCTCATATTTATTTTCCCTGTTATTTAACAATCTTCTACTTCAAATATTTTGCAGCGACCAAAATAGTGATCAGTGGACTGCACTATTTTTATATATTTTTTGACAAAATTTAAATTAAAGACAATTTCCCACCCTCCTTTCCCTTTTCTAAATGTGAACATGCACTAGTCGGTCCAACGACGTTAAGACGATTTACTTCTAACGAACCAATCCATAAGTTAATAATGTGTATTAATGACGATCATTTAGGTGAACCTAAACGAATTCACGGAAATGGATTCGCAGCTGTGCAAACAAGAGCGGGCAGATAGCTTGAAAATTCTTACGTGCGCTGTAACGAGGCGCAGCACGCAACTCGCAGCGTTGTCTGACCATTATCAGGCTGTAACTACTGCGCGAGCTTCGTTGCTTCGTCTGATATGATCGGTCCGCAGCCGCTGACAATGGCCCGGCCTTTATTCCCTGTTCTTTTCACAGCCGCATCGATGTAGGTCATGGTAACATCATATTCAGGGGTTCTTTTTTTTCTACAGCGCCACCGGTGAATTGCTACCAGCTTTCCAGTCCTGTTGCCATTTTCTTTTCCCACCCATCCTAATATTCCATCTTCCATTCTCTCCTTCTGTCTCTCGCTCCCTTTCTTCTCCCTTTTCTCCTATATTTTTTGTTCATTCTGCATTCTTTCATTTTCATTTCACTCTTTCTTTCCTTTAAACTTTAATCTTTCCTCCTCGTTCTTTCTTTGTACTTTGTCTACATCTTTCGCCATCTCTTTCTTTTCTCTTTTCAAGCTCTGTCGCTCGTCTCTTCTCTGCTTCGAATCTTCTTTTCCAATGGAACGTAGTTCTCTTCTATCCTTTTTCTACTTCCTTTTCCTTTCCATTCGTCCTCTTTAAAGCTATTGTTAAAGAGTATCCGAGGGATCGTGATGTTTATATACTAGTACATACCAGCTCGTTAATATTTCGTAAGAATTTCCAATCGACGATTCATCTTTCTCTTTCTATTTTTGGATCATTTTCTCTTTGCTAATGTGTACAGTTTATCAAGGAATATAGTGAAAACGTAATTCTCGATGTTTTACAAAAATTTTCACACATACATACATCACTGTTTTAAAATATAAACGATGCGATTGTAATATCTCGAAGCTTTCACTGTTACTATAAATATTCCTAGTATCGGGGATTTCTTACACAAGCCAAAGGAATAATTTCCGCCTTCCTTGTAAAATTCTTTTACAGCAGCCCTCGAACTCAGTCTTATCGCGACTCAACTCTTTCGGATATCAATACTTAATATTCCAAAGTAGCAATTTTTCAACAAATTCTTTTCACCACACCACCAGCCAAGCCTTGTTCTTCGCTCGAGACGTAATCAGGGAATTTAATCCAAGAAATTTGGGTTGAAGGACTTTTTTTTTTAGCTGATGAGCGAAGGCTCGAAGAGAAAAAGAGAGGAACTTAATTTCGGTTATGATCCTCGTCTCAGCGTCCATTGAAGAAGCTGGCTGGATCGTCAAGGAGTTGAAATCATAGCGTGGAAAATTATTCGCGGCTCGCGCGGAACCATTGTTCGTCGAAATCGAGTCGTTTCAAGTATGAGCCGAGAGTCTAACGCATTGTTCGTTGCAGTGTCTTTTATGAGACACATCTGTCCATGGCATCTGGGGTTATTTGCATTTTCTACGAGCATTGCCCAGGGAATTTAATGTTGGTCATATCTGTATGATCTTTAAATAAAATATAATTTAATTTATTTATTTAATTTAATTTAATTTATTTAATTTAATTTAATTTAATTTATTTAATTTAATTTAATTTAATTTATTAAGTCCCCCTCTTTTAATTTAATTTAATTTATTTAAACATTAATTTATTTAATTTATTGTCTATTGATTATTTAATTATTTTATGACAGTGTACTACACGTCATAAATGTTTTCTCTTGTTTTCTGTTCAGTCGTATTAGCATGTTTTGTTTGAATCAGCTACTTTTAATTGTCAATAGTAAACTTGCGAACAGGACGGTAAATTTACGAAATTCTTTCAAAATGAAAAACCAAAGTTTCTATACATTCGTGTAAAGGATTATTTACAATTAATCTACTAAAAAGATAGTAATAATAAATTAGTGATAAAAATTATGCTTTATTACTACTGTTTTTTTTTTTTTTTTATTAAAATTATGGCTGTGCATCGATAGATGAATTTAAACAAGAGTTTGTTCGTGTATGTATGTAATATATGTGTGTATTAAATATGATAAGTATTCTACTTGGTAACATTTTACACATTTTTGTATATTCCATGCATTCTGTAAAATTTGCATTCTTCAACTTTTTATACGATGTATAAATTTATCTTTTTATCAGACGAGAACTGAAGCTTTCGGTATGATCGTTCACTGGACACATGCTTTATTATCGTTTATACACTCTGTATCTTCTCATGCTCCTCTTACTTAGAACTCTATACCCTCAAAGAATATAACAAAGTTCATCCTCTCTAGCCACCATTATGCTAGAACTTCCTCGATAATTCAAAAATTGTTTCAATCGCTGCTGTGACTGACCGATTTCCTCTTCTCTGTTTCAGCGATCACTCGATAAGCAACCGCGTGGATCGGCGAGGTCATCCAACGCACTGCGAGTGCGGCGAAGTGACCAGGCCCTTATGACGACGCGAGGAAACGGCCGAGAGTGCCCTGGCCACGTCGCAGTCCGACTTCTAGGCCTGTTCCACTCACTTCCACGTTTCGCCCTCGGCCGTTTTCAACCCCCTCCCCCTCTCCCTTTCGAAAGAATGTCCAACCCCTTTCCATTTCTGTCCAACTCATCGCACCTTGTACGTAACACAACCCCGATCCCTCCCTTCCGCTAGCGTTCCACACACCTACACACTTACGTACGACATACACATGTACAAAACGACACGTGAAGCACCGTGCAAGAAACGGGGAAACGATCCTTCGAACGTGCGAAACGGGAATTGTCACGGTTTCTCTTTCAGTTAGGAAGTTGAATCGCCATCTCAATGGAGATAATTTCGCCATTTGTTCCCTCATCCTGCTGGAGGTTGGGTGCAAATTAACTTTCGGACAGCGGACCGGTTTGATCATTCCGAGCACCACCGAATTGAACTCGAACAGCTTTGATTTCATTCTCTGCGTGGCTAGAAATAGAGGTTTATTCGATTTTTCTTTCATTAGATTTTTAATATTATTGAGTCATTGCTATTAAGAAAGATGTTTGATACAACATCTAATATTTTTAATCTCACGCGTACGATATTTTAGCTTCGCTAAAGTATTCTTTTATTCTCATCGTTAATTTAACGTCGAATGTTTTTCATCTCACGTGCATTTCAGCTTTTTAATATTATTAATGTTGTTATGTGTTATTACATTTTTTGCAAACGTGTCCCTATTTTATAATTCCGCAATCTTTTCGTATTCCGTCACCGTCGCATCGTCCGAGAGTTAAGACCGATGGGGAGAAACGCTCGTAAAATGCGCACTCGACGTAATTAAATCGAACTATCGATCTTCTTCGCGTGTATTTTTTCATTTACCACGGAGATTATTATCATTTTTGGTATTCGTGGGAGTATAGATTCGCGTACGATATAGCGATGTAAATAGATAACGATACGTGTGAGTGACAGGAGAATTCGGTTCCGAGGAACGATCAATATTGAAAGTAGGATAGAGTTCAACAGTTGTATCTCAGGAACAATAAATAGATAGCTCGAACATGCCCTAAAGTGTCTTACTTAACTTTTACTAAGGGAGAAAAAGATTCCTCCTTCACTTCGGATTCGAACTCAAAGGATGTCTAAGTGGAACGAAAGAGATCAGTCGAATGCTTCCTGACGTTTCCAATATATTCGCCGTGCCATTGATTGAATCAAGATTCAGACGAATCAATTCCTGTATATTAGAATCTTTGCGCGGGCAATTATTATCTCGTCTGAATGTCTTTAATCCTCCATGTGGAAGAGATCCTAATGAAAGAGATTTCTTTAATTTCCATTTAGAAATTTCCAGAAGAAATCCTACATCCAGGAGAAATTCATGCATAAACCGCAAAGATTATCTGTCATCCTTTTTTTACCATTCGGTCTTGAAAAACGAAAAGATCAAGAGACGAAACGTTCACGTTCTTTGTGATTTCTCTATCTGAAAGCTTCTATCGATTTCTCCCTTCCAAAGCCGAGCTAAAAGGACAATAAAAAGAGGGAAAAAAAGCGTGGTAGAAACTTCTGCGTATTATTACGCCTCCATTAACCGTTAAAACCAGAGCTTCGGAACATTGTAGTCTAGAACGAAGGCCGAATTTCCATAAATTTAGGAAGTTTCTCAGGCAGTAACAGTTCCGAGTGCCATTTTACAAGCGCCCTGTTGCGTTGCCTTTATCGTGCAACGCAACGCGTTGTTCCCGCTCGAATCAATGTCGCGACAAGGGTGGTAATTACGTTTGACGTCTCGAAAGTTGCACGATAATCGAGTGCTAGTGTCTCGCGATACTACGAGGACGACGCACTTACCAAAGCGAATATACGTAACTGATGAAACTTCCTCGAGGAGAGTTGTTGAAACCTTTTCAAGATTTCTTTCAAGGTAAAAAAAAAAAAGTTAATCGCGCCGTTACTACATATTTTTTTTATGCTTGCATGTTTGGAATTATTTCCAAAATATATAACCACGCGATGCGTCGAGTAATTCCAGAATAATTTATTTATATTCCAAACATGTATATTAATTAATGATACATAGAGAAGAAAGTCATTATTGGCAGGCAGGAAATAGTAATTTTCGAAATTAAAATAATTTCACGTCGAAGGGAATTATTCGCTGACGATCCCCTCGGCACGTATTTATTCAAGCAAATCTTCTCGATGGAATGAAACAGTCGATTATTGGCAACTGTCATTAATTTATCAGTTCGTTAGACGATCAACGGCGTGTAATTGCTTTGCGCGTTAAATCGTGCGAAATGAGGTTTTTCGTTAATTACTAAATGGATTCGGACGACACGCACGACGCATGATAATGGACGTGTTTATCGAACGAATGCAACGACGATGACGTTAATCTCACTACTCATTATCGACGCTCGTTTCCAGCTGAAAGTTACAATCGCGCGTTATAAATACGCGCAGTCTCGCAGTCGTGTTGTTGCCGATTGAGAAGACTCGTCTCAAAGTTTCGACGACGAAAGAGTCGTTGACGAAGAGTCGATGGATCGTTTCCGTGTAGAAAGAAAGATGATAAGAATAAAAACGACAAGATAAATTATCCCGAAACTATTAAGTTAGGAGTTAGGCGAGATAACGTAAAACGACGATAGTTAAAATGCATAACTGCCCGGATAGTCGGACGAGAGAAAAGCGATCGCGGAGTTGATTGAAAATTATTATAAGATTTATTTTTTATTAGGTCGCAAGTGGCTGTTACGGAGGCTACGGTCGACCTAACTTGAAGGACCATTTTTCTTGGAAAACTTTCGTCCCTCGTGAACATTGTTTCGCAAAGGTTCTTTCGAAATTCACGCGAAATCGTGTAAAATTTCGCCTGAGAATAGAAATCGGAATTGTGCAAAAATATTGTGCGAAACTTAGATGAGAAAACGATTACTTTTATTGAATTATTGTAATTTTCTTTCGGATTATAATTTTTCTTTTCTTCTTCTTTTCATTGCGAGAAAATTTTTTCACGAACTTTCTCAAACGTATTTGAGATCTTTACGTTACGTAGTTATGCTAAAAGCATCGCAATCGTGGTAAAAATTTCCCCTTGCTTCAGAAACATTACACTTCGTGGCAATTACGTACGCCATTAACTCGGTAAGAAGTTTAAAATTTACCCACGTTTGGAAATTGAAGTCATCGACATTCACGTTATACAAGAAAAATTTTTAAATGTATCTTCCACCAAAAAAAAAAAAAGAAACGATCGCCTGATACCATTCCATCAAGGTTTCAACCTTTATTGCGAGCTGCAAAGTTGAAGAAAGAAGAAAAAAAAGAAGTAACAATTTTCGAGTTGAACACTGGTCAGCACTTCCGGTTGCCTAGACTGGAACGTAAGTGCACGAGACGTATAGGTCGCAAAAAAAAAAAAAAAAAAAAAAAAAGAGACGAGATCGTAGCGTCGTTTCGTTACTCGTGGTAATATCGGTGATGGACAGGCGAATCCGTATTTAATAGCGCATAAACGTTCCGTCGTGACGCGCCAATTACATTATGCTTTGAAACATTATCCAATTTTTTGCCAGACCGCGAACAATTTGAATTGCATGAAATTGTTTCGAGGGAATTCTGTCAATGGTACGTAGACGAAGCGCGTGAAGATGAAATCGACTTGGAAACTTTTGAAAGTAAATTATAAATTGTTGTATCCCAATCGTTTCTTGATTTTCGTACTTTAAAAATGCCGACGCTCCTTTGTGATGGTTTGTTTTGGTCATTTTCGAAATCAATTTTGAACCTTTCATTCGTAAATTAAATTACATCATTAATTATAAAAATTACGTGAATTAAATTTATATAACAGGAAGATAAGATCTATCGTAACATTAATTTGAGTTTACCAAAAATTTTATAAGTTAGTTTATAAGTTTCAATAATTTAAAAGGTTTTAAAAATTTTTGTTTATCGTATACTGTTGAATTTCTTACTAAATACATTCATGCTCGCAATCTATTTCATTTTTAACTTTATGACTCTGTCGTTTTACAAAAATGTTGGTAGAGAGACGTATTACGAGTGAACAGGATCATGAATAGAGTCAAACATGAAAGGAAAGAAACGCTTGAGACGTCGGTACGTGATAATGCAACTTTGAGCCATCGTCAAAGAGCTCTGGACCACGTGCTATTTTCGAAATATAGATACATATGTCTTCTGCGATTGTATCTCAAATTCGATTTAAATGATAATTCGTTTCATTTTCGTTTATCGTCATTTCCTTTACATGTACGCGAAACGTAAGTACACAGCATGAAATGAGATTTAGGTTTGGAAACTCATCTCACTAAATTAATCATTCATGAAGCGCGATGTGGTTTTATTTATTATATATTTATTTATAATAATACTATTAATTTACATATATTGTTTATATTATATGTTTTTATATTTATATTAATAGTTTTGTTATTTTTCATTTTTATCTCTATTCGCCGGAAATTTTTGACGCCAGTTTGCTGTTATACACAGAGTAGTATAAAATTCGATAAAATTCGATAAAAAAAAAGCATGAAGTACAAAGATATTCTCGTTTTTCAATTTATTCGAAAATGATCTGTACGGGTTTCTGTTTTAATCAAAGATTAAATTACGCTTGTTAAATTCAAAGATATGACTTTATTTTATACAAATTGCAATTACGTAATACTTACAGCAAATCACTGATTTTGAAAGGTGTCATTAATTCAATATATCGATCATTAGAAAGTAAATCACTGCGGAGAAAGAAATATCAACCCTAATATAAGGACATAATAATTTCTAAAACTGCCTGATCCAAAAAATTTATGCACCGAGTCTTTAATTTTTTTAATTTTTACCACGACGGACCGTTTGAAAGTGCTGCGTATAAATGCAGTTTTTAAAACAATTAAAAAAGTTTACATATTCGAAGAAATCGATGTTCATCTCCATAATTTTCAAAATTCTGCAATTCAACTCAATCGCAGCGGGGCAATCAGTAATTTCCAAAAAAATATTCTCCAAACGCGATTAAATACAGTTGTTCAACGCGTTCAAAGTGCGCCGCGTGAAATCTAAGACAATTCCCTCTTGCAATTGTCGAAATTCCGCAGCTCGAGCGCAATTTAAAATCCACCACGCGCGGTTCGATGGATTCTTCTCGAATTCTCGACTCTCTACTTGGCAATTCCGCGCTGAGCGAGCTGGTCGTTCTCGCGACACGAATTTTTCCGCAAATTCCGCGCCGCCGGCCTTGTTCACACCGAATATGTAAATAAGCCGACTACTCGTTGAAAATTTTCTGCACACGTCTCGCGGACGCGCGCGTAAATTAATGCGGGAACGCGTTGAGAAAATGTCCATGCATCCGTGAATCGGGGAAACTTTTTCTCTCTTTTCAGTTTTCAAGCTGGTCGCGTACGAGCGTATGAGCGACGGAGAGGAAAGTTCAGCAGTGGCAAATCGTGTTAAACAGGGCGTGCGGCTTGTCCTCGCGAGAGTTTGC